GTCCTCCACGAGGAGCAGCACCGTTTCCAGAGCTGATTCCACCTCTGGACCCACCTTGACCACTGGAGTGTCCTCCACGAGGAACAGCACCGTTTCCAGAGCTGATTCCTCCCCTCTGGCTGGGTGGAGTGCTGGTCATCCCTCCCCTAGGAAGGGCTTTCCTCACTGTGCACTTGTGACCATTCACAGTGTGGTATTCCTGAGAGATGATCTTGTCTACAGAATCCTGGTCATCAAAGGTCACAAAAGCAAAGCCTCTCTTCCTGCCACTCCCTTGATCAGTCATGATTTTAATCATTTGGATTTCCCCATATTGCTGAAAATAATCTCTTAGGTGATGTTCTTCAGTGTTTTCTTTGATGCCACCGACAAAAATCTTTCTCACAGTCAAGAGGGCACTGGATCTTTGAGACTCTTCTTTTGGCACTGCTTTCTTGAGTACCACAGCTCTCCCGTCCACCTGCTGTGGACCTGCCTTCATGGCTGTATTCATCTCCTCCACTGTGGCGTAAGTGACAAACCCAAAGCCTCTGGACCGATGGGTGTCTGGATCTCTTATGATCACAGAATCTGTTACTTTCCCCCATTTTGCAAAATGGCTTTGCAGACTTTTAGCTGTTGTTTGCAAGCTCAGACCTCCAACAAAGAGCTTCCGCTGCTGTTCTGGCACCTTGGGAGGTCCTGATTTTGACATACGGACTTTCTCCAGGTTCATTCTACAGAGTCAACAGGCAGAAAAGCAATGCTTCTTTCTGTTTTTGAAGAAAGCAAAGATTTTACTGAATTGGTTTGTTTGCTAGGATAAATTAAGAGGAAGGGAGGGAGAGAGATGTCAGGGAGAGGACTAGGTGGGGGTCTCACACCTCTCCACCCATACCCGGTCTGCTATTTGGGCATCTAGCCTGGAACTCCATTAGCCCTGTGCCCTTCAGTCTTGAGGAAACTGCACAAAACAGGAGGCATGGTGAGGAGCAACTGGGGAGCCTCTCCCTGGCTGCCTTCCCGGCCTCACTCGGAGGCTGCTGAGATTGGATGCCTTGCCCTCTACCCGAGCTGTTGGTAGAATCACCAAGAGCATCGGACGTTGTCAGGTTCCAGTCCTATACTTTGGGTTGCAAACCAGGGGTGTCTGCAGTAGTCTTAGTTGCAAAGCAGGTAGATGAGTAGCACCTTGCTTCTCTGGAGGTCTCTGATGAGCAATTACCACCACCAGGACTTCCAATACTTCTTTCCTGCTTATTCTCTTCACCCAACTAGAGAAACCTCCCACTTCAGTACAGTTCAGACTGAATTCATTCAACCCAGATAGATGATAACCATGAAAGTTGAAGATATCTCATGCCTAAGACAGCAAAGATGTGCAGTTAGGGGGGATGCCAGGGAGGGAAGGCCCTTCCTCCAGGTGAGACTCACCAGAGCAGGGAAACTCTGCCGGCTGGCTTGCAGAGATGGTGGTCACTCCCAGGGCTGTTTTCTCCAGAACTAAATCTGTGTTGGGCACCCTCTAGTTATGTTCTCCTCTAGGGAGTTCCTGGATTGAGTTACACCCTGATCATCCAATCACCTTGATTCCATTATGGGTTTCCTCCAAACCTCCAAAGCATGCCCGGGAGGGTGGGTAGCTCAATGGATTAGCCCTTCTCTGCATTGATTTCCTTTAATCCCCCTAAGTAGGGTGGGTTCCAGTAGAAGGGGACATGTCTCAGCTCCTTAGCAAGCTACAAGATGGCAGGTATTTTTGGGGAGTTATTAAACATGTTACTCCAGCCCCTGACCAGATTAATTTCACTCACCATCCTTTAGTTAAATGCAAAAACTCATCTTTTTTTTTTTTTTAAATCATTCTGATTGCTTCCTTCACCTTAAGTTACTGTCCCCTTGGGTTCCATGACAACCAGGCCCTTGGATATCCTCCTCCTTCAGTTGCTCATTTCCAGTCCTCTTTGTGGGCTCCTCAGTCTGTATTGGGCCATCATGTTACTCCTTGGTCCTAGGTGCTGTCCCTTCTCGCTCCACACAGCTTCTAAAGGTTGTGTTTCTGCAGGTGTCCCAACTCAACGTTTATATTTCGTATCTCCTGAGATTCTGGCAGGCATAATGCCCTTGATTTTTGAAGAGGTCAAAACCAGGACCCCATCACCTTCTCATTCTTTCCCTCTCAGTCAAGCCTGCTCCCCCAGAAGTCCCCATCCACTGTTTCCTAAGCCAGAAACTCGAGTTCTCTCAGCCAGGGCAGCTGAGGCCCCTCTGCGGCAGCTCTGACCGCTGAGTCAGGGCGCTGCTGGGCCCAGTCGCAGCTCCACATGGGGTCAGGATGTTGTTTCCATAACATGATCCTAAATACGTTTTTCTGTGTCTTAAAAGTTTTCACATTTCTCCGCCCTCTACAGAATGAAGTGCATCCTCTTGGGCGGCTGATAAAGCCTTCCCCGGGGAGCTAGCTGCTCAGCTCTCCAGCAGCGTGTCCTGTGGAGACCCCCAAAACTCACTTCTTATGAGCTGTAAACTCAGCTGCACCCCCATTGCTCTCTGGCTACCAGGTCTTTGGGGTTACTCATTCCGTGCTCTCTCCCTCTACCTGAGTTAACCCTCCCTTCTCCCCTCTGGGCTCTCTCAGCCTTTTGGTTGTAAAGTTTTCAGAGCTATATTTATACTTTTTAAATTTCCTATAAATAGTGTATATTAATTTGCTAAAAAGGAAAACCATACAAGTTACAGTTTATTGATGGAATGGTAGGTGTATCCACTACAAAAATCACTAAATTAGCATGGAAAAATAATAAAAAAGAAACAAACATGGAAAAACAAAACCATTTGGACAGAAAATTCCAATTACTTGCCTATTTTCATCCTCTCATGTTACATTTGCCTCCTCTAAAATCTCATCAACTGCTTGCTAATACTTGTCTTGTTTTAAAAAAACAAACAAATGTACTCTGTGGATAAGATGGTCAGTGTGGGGCAAGCAGGAAGGGAAAGAGAGTGGGGTGGTGTATTCTGCAGCCTTGTGACTCGTGCGGCCCCCACCCCCGCACCCCACGCCCCAGCCACAGTGAGTGAAAGGAATTTAATATCACTTTTGAAATGTTAGGTTAAAGGTGCATTATTAGTGATTAAAGTTTATTTTTTGGTTTATGCTTAGAGAAGAAAAATAACTCCTAAGATGTAATAGCGAGACAACTGTATTTTTAATGTCCTAACACGTGCAAGCAATGTAGTCTTGGGATCTGATCTGGATTTAAGTATAGATTCTGCCATTTTGTCACTACTTCAAATGACTGTTGGAAAAATGTTCAGTGCCTGATATTAAGTTATTAAGTTATTAATTTTAAATTAATGTTTATACTGGTAAATTAATTGATAAAAAAAAAAAAGGCAGGCCTGGGTGCTGTGGCCAGCCTTATTCAGCTTCCCTCCTGGGTCATGGAACCAGCTTGCTACCAATTCCTACAAGTATGCCCTGAGAAGTTTCTTCCCTTCCCGAACCACCAAGCCCGGCATGGGCACCCTTCTCTCTGTTTCCATGGCACCAATGCCTACCTGGTCAGCACTGGTCACATGGTCTCTAATGAGAGTTTGCTTACTAGTGTCCTCATTAGATGATAATTATTTTGTAACCAAGGACTCTGTCTACCTTGTTACCTGCTGGATTCCCAGCATCTAGGAAGGCTAAAGAGAAAGTGGGAATGTGAACCTGCAATGCCTTTGGAAATCTTTATGAAATAAAAGCCTGCCCTGAAAGATGGTACCTCTGGGAAACCAGGGGTATGCCATGAGGCCCGGAGCTCCCCTCTAGAGTTGGAAGTTCGTATCCTGGCTCTGCCACTCCTCTGTGACCTTTGGGAGTACAGCCCAGATCACTTCACTTCTCCATGTCTTCTCCTCATTGGTAAAGTAGGAGCAGCATAGTGCCTACCTTTACAGACGAGCTGTCATCATACCCTACAATGTCAGTTCTGGGCCCTCCCTGGTGGCGCAACAGGTTAGGACGCAGCACTGCAAGCTAGCTGCAGCCACTTCAGTGTGAGCTTGATCCCTGCCCTGGAAGTGACCCACAGCGCGCAGCAGACCTCTCCTGACCCTCCTGCTGCTCCCCTCAGCAGTGTGCTTCATCAGTCTGCCTGTTCTGCTCCCCACTCTACCTCTGGTGAAACACCTCACTGCTCCTGCACCTCTGACCTGTACCCCATAAGTAAATTAATTTTTTAGAAAGATGTACATTTTGACACCAAAACATAAAAGTGTAAAATGTACAGTTTTTAACAAACAACAAGAATGTCAGCTCTGTAGTGGTGAAGCTCTTACTCTATTTTGTCTAATGCTGTATCACTTATGCATAGAACTGTGCCTGGCACCAAACAGATGATTTAAAAATCCAGTAAACTTAATAATTTCAGTAAACTTAACAGAAAATAGGAGAAAAACTCTAAATGCCCAACAATATAGACATGGGTATGATAGTAGATATTCTTGGAAAGGAATATGATCAGAAACTTAACATTTTTCTACTGCAATAGTGCTACATTTAATATTTTACCAGTTGAGTTTTTATAATAATCATACTAACATAGAGCTTATTATGTGCTAGGTACTATGCTAAGTGCTTTATATGCATTGATTCCTCTAATCCTGATCCTTATCTTATTAGATAAGATAAGGATAATCCTGTTATAATGGTGGAATCTTGATAAAAATGGGAGGTTCTTTGTCCCTCCTTCATTGGGGGAGGGTTGAACTGAGTGCCAGAGACTTTAAAGAACTAATTGGATGATTTTAGCCTCTTTTCCCCCTTAATCCTTCACTTCTGAAATTTCACTAAAATATTCCTTTTTCCATACATTTTGCTAAGTCTTGGGTGTAATCTTTCTGTTTGAAAGGTTTTTTTTTCCCCCTTTGGTGTTCTCCTTTTATTTTTAAAAAGATTTATTTATTTATGCATATAAGAACTAGGTCACAGGCCAGAGTTGTGGGGGTGAAAGAATACACCAGAGACAGAGTGGGGAGCAGAACAGGCAGACCGACTGAAATTCTCTACACAGAATTGGAAAGGAAGACATAGAGCAGGGTCTAGATTATCAATTCCAAAACAACGAAATGCTTTTTAAAAAATAATATAATAGTTTATTTTTACATCAATTTGTGCATTTTTCTATCTCAGTTGTAATCCCCCTGGGCTTCCCGTCACCAAATCACCCATGTGCCATCACCATAGTCCAGTGCATTTCCCTCCCCCCACTGTTTTTGATCCCATTCCCCACTCCACCCCCTCAAAATGTCTGTGGTATATAGCTGTTCGTTATTATTTTCTCACCTGGTCTGTTATACTCCTGCTATGGGAGAAACCATCCAGTATTTTTCCTTTTCTTTCTGGCTTATTTCACTAAGCGTGATCTTTTCCAGCTCCATCCAGGTTGCTGCAAAAGGCATGTGTTTATTTTTTGATTGCTGAGTAATATTCCATTGTATATCTGTACCACATCTAACACATGCAAAAGGCATGTGTTTATGTATTTTTTGATTGCTGAGTAATATTCCGTTGTGTATCTGTACCACATCTTTTTAATCCAGTCATCTACTTTTGGGCGTTTGGGCTGTTTTCGTGTCTTTCCAATTGTATATAAGGCAGCAATAAACATGGGGGTGCAGGTATCTTTTTGAATCAGTGTTTTTGTGTCTTTTGGGTAGATGCCTAGG